TTATGCAAAGTGCAGGGGCCGGTAATGCGGTGGATAGAAATGAAGTTGGAAGAGGGCGAAAGCAAATAATATTAAGAAATTGGTAAAAGCTGTAGAATATTTTAATAAAGTCAGGTCGTCCGGATGTGAAGAGGAGCAGCTCGATTTCTTCACAGTCCATAACAGTTTTCGGAAGGCTCCATTTCTAACAGAAGACAAAACCGTGTAGTTTCGTCACATTAGCGCCAGAGTTCCGAATTGAAGAGCAGTTCTTCTGATCGATCTATGGAATATCACTACAGTATGGTAGAATTGTGCAGTTTCAGAGTTGTAAAGATTTGCCGGGGCTATGCCTGGGCGATGTTTTGGAGATCTCATCACCATTCCTGGAACAACCTTGTTACGTGCAGCATGTGTACGAAGATCCGGAAGGTGGCAGCTCTCGTGAGAGGCGTATTTATGTCGAGAAATCGATTGCGGACGCATTCGCGCTATCACAAAATCAATGTGTTGCAGTGAAAATTATCGAAAAAAAGGAGGTTATCCGTTGTTCATTTTCTTAGATCATAAGAAATCTTGGGTTTGTTTTACCAATTTCAGGAGGCCGTCATTTCAAATTTTGCTTTTTTTGATCCACGCTAAAATGCTTCAAAAAAAAAAAAACTGCTGAGAAGATATGCAGGTTTTGTTGGATAATATCGAGGTGACAATCAAGGAACGTTTTGTAAGCCGCTCGGATATGTGGCGATATCGCAGTTGCTTGCTGGATACTTGTGCCTACAGAGGAAAGAAAATGGACTGGTTGTTGGCACCAAGCACTGTTTGTAATTTATGGGCAAAAGGTGAAATGGTAAGAGCAACAGTTTCTTGCTAAATAACGCCAGTTAGTTATGGTTGGGGGGACGGAGACGGGGAAGGGGGAGGGGGAGATTTACTGAAATTATGCTTTTTTTATGCGCGTTTTCCTCACAAACGTGATCTTGTGCTCCTGCATCCATACCAATCCGCACATTTGAATTAGCAAATTGGCCGACTGTGTATGGTGGTTTTCCTGTTGTTTATTTTCTTAAAGTCAAAAAAAAAAAATGAAATATATTCAGTTAAAACACACTTCTATCCAGTTCAGCTCCTAAAAACTAAACTTTCTTATGTGTCCAAAGCAGTGAGCTGAAAAGAATCACTATGGTAGTTTTTTGAAAGACCGTTTTTACGCATATACATATTTGATAGTGGACATGCTCATTAGCTCCATGCCTGATAATTCGGTGGTTTTGTGGACAGTCATGCCATTTTCCTTCTCCTGTGTTTACAATTTTGACCAATGCTGCACTGCTCGGTGTTCATTTTTGTGGCAGTCCTGTCGTTTTTTTCATCTACTGAATGGATTCGCGTGCGTAAACCTACTACATATGTAATAGAATTTAAACAATTCCTTTTTTTTTGAAGGTGAAAAGCGGCTACGTTTCGGAGGATACAAGAGTGGTCTTTCGTTCAGCAAGTGCCACGGTACGCTCCT